AGCTACCTTGCCAGGAACTGGAATTCCCCAGCCCTGGTTCTCTGTCTTCATTTGCCTTGGTATCTTATTTTCTGGCTATGCCACAAATTTGTTTTTGTTTTGGAGAATAAAATGTATTCATTCAGTAAATATGTATTGAGCACATAGGGTTTGAAAGGCTCCTTGCCAGATGATGGGCGAACACAGTCAATGAGCTCTTCTAACCACTGCTCTCATTGCATTTAGCTAAGTAAATCAACTTGGCATTGCCCAGTCTCTGAGTCACCACACTTGCCAGGAACCAGTCTGAATTTTCTCCCCATTGTGTTTGCCAGGGCATGCCCTCATTTTTAGAACTTGGCTAACAACTCATTTCTGTGACACCTTTCAAAATTATTCTTCAGCCTTTATCATTCAAATTCCCTCTCTATTTTCATTAAGAACATCTGAACAGAGTTATGAAGTTCATAAGGTATTTGGAAAAAGTGCCCGCCTGACAGGTGGCCTGGTTTTTCAGTCCAGCTTTGCCACTAATTGGATGTATGATCTTGGCTAAGTTACTTCACCTCCTGGGGTCTCAGTCTCTGACATCTGTGTGGGCCTCTATGGTTGTGCTAGCTTCTGACTCTGGCCATAATTTCCAAAATTCCTGAGCACAGGGACAAGTCTGAAATATTAAATGTATTTTATTTGTTGACCAACAACAATCTGTTTAGCACACATGCAGGTCAGTTCAGTCGCTCAGTCGTGTCCGACTCTTTGTGACCCCATGAACCTCAGCACACCAGGCCTCCCTGTCCATCACCAACTCCCGGAGTCCACCCAAACCCATTCAGTTTTCATCATAAACCAACAAAATCATTCTCATACTTCTTGATATTGAATGCTCTGGCATATGCCTTTTACAACAAAGTTGTCCCTGCTTCCTCAAAATCAATATAATTCTGCCTCTTGGGGCACTATTTTTCTTGGGAAGAAAGTTATTTCTGTGAGTTGTGTGAACTACACTGAAAGAGAAGCAGCAAAAGTACATGGTACACGATTCTTACAGATCATGCAGAATTTATGAGACACGAGAGCTCCCCGATGGGAAATTTGCAAATCTGACCTCCAGGTCTCCCTAGGATGCTTGACTACTTCTATTGGATGGCTCAAGTGTGGCCTTAAGAGAGGCAATGGGATCTTAAGATTTCTAGGACCAGGACCCTTTTAGCTACAGCCCAGGTCTAGAGAACTGTTCCAATGTCTTACTTTACCACCCCTCCACATTTCTCTATTTTGAGCCTCATCCTTATTGACACTCCTTCATTCTGAGAGGGGGAATTGTGCCTCTTATGTCTTTTTGGCTTCTGGATCCATCATCTTTCAGCTCCTCAGGAACTTCATTCCCTTAATCATCCCCTTTCCCCTTTCTTGTCAACTCTTTCCCACCCTGGATCTTCTTTTCAACTTCTGTGCCTGCTCAGATCTTACTTTAAAACAAACCTCGCCTGCATCCCTGCACTCCTTTGCCTGGCTAACACCAACCTGTCTCTCCATTCTCGGTTCACACGAAGCCTCCCCTCCATGCCCATGCTTCAGCTTTTCTCTGTTCCCAGAGTGCCCTGTGCACATCTCTCGTCTCACATATATCCTGTACTGCAGTTTACTTTTTTTATATGATCGCCCCTGCCACTGGACAAAATCTAACTGTACTTTTTACCTATTGCTGAACTCTAGATACCTTATATAGTAATCTCAATAAATTTTTGTTCAATCAATAATGCAGAGGCCGACTCTAAGATAACGAATGTGTCATGTTGAAAAGCTGTTTTCAAACCTAAGTAAAGAAACTGGAATGGGCCCAGAAAATTCAAGACGCTTATATCCTCAAGACCCATCTGCAGTGAGGTTTAAAGAAGTAAGGTATTTTGACATACTACTTTTTAACTGGAGCAGGATACTAAACAGTGGTAAGATCTCAATTTTCCCCTACAGGATCCCTTTTAAAAATTACATATACAGTACTTATTCAATGAAGAAGCAAATTTGAGTATAAAAATCACCTGTGATACCACAATGTAGATATGACTTCTGTTAATATTTCCAGGTACATTTTTCTACACTTCTTTACTGTGCTAAAATGTCTATTTGTGTAAATACATATTTTAAATGTACATATATATTACATTATACCATGTATACTTTTGAAAGCCTACTTTTTCACTCATCATGTGCATCTTTCCACACCACTAAAAACACAACTACAATATCACTTTTATGCTGGAGTGGGATTAAGGTAGGTGAGGGTCATGATATATATAACCAATCCATCCTCTATTATAAAATTTTAGGTTGTTTGTAGTGTTTCATTATTTCAAAACCATTTCAACAAAAAAGTTTACATTTTTTTTTAAGCTCATGCCTTATTATTTGCTGAAGATGCATTTTTAATGTTACAGTTTCCTGGTCAAAAGATATATTCATATTTGAAGTTTTTTATGTTACAAACTGCCAAATTTCTCTTCAGAAAGTTGTACCAATTCATGAGCTTCCCCAGTGGCTCAACAGTAAAGAAAGTTGTACCAATTCACACAAAAGTGGCTTTTCCCCACACTCTCACCAGTATAGGTTATGCTGATGCTACTTACTCTTTTTCATTTTGATTTGATTGCTAAGGTTTTTCTTTGAAAACTTACATCTCGTTGATTGCTAGTTAGGCTGAACATAGTTTTATATCTTTAGTGTTCCTTTTATTTATTTTAAAAAAAATGTTTGTTTATTTATTTATTTATTTGACTGCCCAGGTCTTAGCTGCAGCATGCAGGATCTTTTAGTTGCAGCATGTGGGATCAAGTTCCCTGACCAGGGGTCAAACCCTGGCCCCTTGCATTGGAAGAGTGGAGTCTTAGCCACTAGACCATGAGGGAAGTCCCTATTCCTTTTATTTTATATTTATTTTTGAGTTTCCTGTTCATATTCCATTATGTCCTATTTATTTGAAAAGTTACATGTATTTGCCAAAAATCTATCATATACTTTTCCTAAACTGCTCTTTGCATTTTAAAGCCTTATTTACAGTGTTTGGGTTTTTTAAAAAAATTCTTACTTTACTATGCGTAAAGTTTAAGCTCTTTTCCCACAGGTAATCTAGCTTTTCCTTCAGGTTTCTTCTTAGATGCCTTCCCTACATGAGGCAGAGATTACCAGTTACCTACCAAATACCCTCTCCTCATCTTCTCTAGCAAGAGAACAACGTATTTCTGAGTCTCTTTTGTAGTTGGTTGTGACCAGGTGACCAGGTAGGGCCAATACTGCAAGTGTTGTTGTGTGACGTGGGGCAAAACTCCACAAGAGTGAGAGATGAGGCTTCTCCCTTCTTTTCTGCTGCCTAGAAGGATACAGCTGGACTCCAGCAGTCATCCTGGACTATGTGGCAGTGGGCACAGAAGGAAGGAGGCTGGAGTCCTCATGTGTATAGCTATCACACTAGCCCTGGGCTGTCTACCTCCAAACTTCTCCTCCATAAGAGAATAAGTAAGTCACTATAGTCAAGCCTCTAGAAAGAGCAACTCTTACTCCTAAAAGCAATTCCTAACTCATATGCTGACCCAAGGTTATATCAATATTTATATGTATTTTTATCTACTATATTATCTCTACCTTTATAGATATATGACTGAAAAGACTTATAACCAAGATCCAACAATAGTATATATAAGATGATAATTCTTGGTAGAGGCTTCTTCAAAATAATAATTGCTAGGCTTCCCTGGTGGCTCAGCTGGTAAAGAATCCGCCTGCAATGCAGGAGACCCCGGTTCAATTCCTGGGTCAGGAAGATGTGCTGGAGAAGGGATAGGCGACCCACTCTAGTACTTGGGCTTCCCTGGTGGCTCAGCTGGTAAAGAATCTGTCTGAAATGTGAGAGAACTGGATTCAATCCCTAGGTTGGGAAGATTCCCTGGAGAAGGGAACAGCTACCCACTCCAGTATTCTGGCCTGGAGAATTCCATGGACTGCAAAGAGTTGGACACGACTGAGTGGCTTTCACTTTCAGACCCCCGTGTAGATAAACTGTTACACTGAATTTTAAGGAAGAATCTAATTATAAAGTTTTATTCTATCAGGCAGTTTTTGAATAAGTTAGGCCAACAATCTTGACTAAAGTACTTTTATAATACAGATCTTGAAAATAGTTTTAGTATCTATTTTCTTCACTAATTATCAGCTTTAATCCTGACAAGTTAGTTTTCAGAGCATGTGACTATAAAATATGTCTAGCTAGTTGGGAGGTTTTCAGTGTAGATAATTGGATACATATTTAAATTTGAATAATAAAGAGCTATCATATAGCAATATTGTACTATAGTTCCTTACAGCCAGAATTTCATTTTAATACTATTGGTTTTAAAACATGTTTTGACTATAGGTATGCTTTTTCTAGAACTTGACAACACATATTACTCTTGCTCATGGAAAAATTAGCCAGATATTAGTGTTCAATTAAATGTAATGAATATTTACTTAACTAATATTTATTGTTTATATGTGTGTGCATGCTCTCAGTCATGTTCGACTTTTTGTGACCCCATGGATTCCAGTCCACCAGTCTCCTCTGTTCATGGGACTTCCCAAGCAAGAATACTTGGGTTTCCGTTTCCTACTCCAGGGAATCTTCCTGACCCAGGGATTGAACCTGTGCCTCTTGCATTGGCAGGGGGTTCTTTACCAGCTGAGTGACCAGGGAAACCCCAAACACCTTTTATGTATTCATTAGTCTCTGTATTTAAACTCACAATGACCTGCAATTCAGGTAATATAATCCCTAGTTTAGAGAGGGGGAAATTGAAGCTCAGAGGTGTTAATTCATTTGGACACTCACTGGCTAAAATGAAATTTCAGACAGCCTCTGAAACCTGTTAATTTCAAAGTCTAAACTCCTTTGCTACTCATTCCAGGCCCTGAACTGGGTCTGAATGAGATAAGAGGTTAGGAAGACAATTTCCTACAAGCAATATTAAAGAAAATTTGGTACTTACCCGTCCCACACAGATCCGTTATGTTAATACGAGTGGGCAGGGAACTGCCTTTCGAGTTAGCTGCAGACACAGCCACAGCCCAGTTCCCAGTTCTGGGAATGACCCAGGTCCAGGAGGTGTGTTCTGTGATGTTCTGTAGTGTGATTTCCCCTCCTGCCACCTCCTGTAAGGTCACTTGATAGTGGAGGATTTTTCCTCTTGCTTCCAATAGACTCAGATTCTGCAACAAAACACATTTACTTACTGTGTACTCTCAGACAAGGTCACTGGAGGCTCTACGCTAGGACCTCATGACTGCCTGCAGCAGGCAGCTACACTAGAGCGACCTTTTTATTTACATCTTTTCGTTTCTTCCACCACACACTTTTACGCTCCACCAAGCCCCACCACTTAAAGAAAAAAAATCAGTTAACATTTTTTAAAAGTTAATTCTTAAAGAATTATTTGGGAACAATCCCAGAAAGTAAGCAGAAAACTAATTCTTTGTATTGTAATTCTGTTAGGACAAGGACCATGAGAAACAGAAGCACTGGAAATGGAGAGTTGCCCAAGTCTGTGTTGGCAGTGCTTGTCCATGCCTAGTGTAGGGAGGGAAGGGCATTGCTCACCAGACTAAAGCATCACAGTTTTCTTGGCAAGGCTCTTCCTTCCATGGGGTGTGTGGTGGCCTCAAGACGCTGAAAGACACACCTTAGGGTTGGCAAATGCCCCTTTCTCTGGTTTCCTGCTCCTAAGCCATCTTTTAATAATTTGGTATCCTATGTCTTTTATCTGTCAGGAGACGGTGGGTTAACATGAATATCTGGTTCATTTAGAATTTGTTTCTTCCACTTTAAGTGAAAAAACTGGCCTTCTGATTATAGTTTGGCTTCTGAAATAATTACCATGCTGTGAGAGGCTGCTCCTATCTGCTGACTCAGGCCTTCTGGTTGGCCCAACAGCTGCAATTCTCACTATAAATTAATGCATGAACATCTAGCTTTTTAATATTTCAGGCTATGGGAGTTTGAATGATGCAGGTCATGTCCTAGGTGCCTTTCTGGATCCACAAGGGCCAAGACTAGATCATAAAACAAGGTCAAGGCAATGGGTGAATGCCATGTGGTTGGCGGCATTTTGGACTGCATGTTCAGCCTTTCCTTAGAAGACATCGTGTGTCCTGGCAAGAACCAACAAAGTTTTTTTGGGGCAAGTGTCCATCACAGCTGATCTTGTGTGGATTAAAACAAGTGAGAACATTGTGATATTCTGAACTTTTATTAATAAACATGCCCTTTGCCACAGAAGAAAAAAACAAGATAAATTAAAGCAAAAGCTGGGTAGGGAAGACCATTTCCTCAGCTCTCTCACTCCATCCTTCCCTACCTGTCTCTTCGGTAGCTCCAGTGGGAGCACTGTCACCCCTATCGCATGCACCCCCACCCAAATGTATTTCCCAAGAGTTGGTGCTCACAAAGCTCCCATTCTTGCCAGGGACCGAGGAGGCAAATAGAGAAACAGCCTCTATTATGGCCCTCTTATTGTCCTTCACAGACACCTTGGCAATCTCATGCAATCCAATTCAAGTCCTCCTGGGTCCAACAAACCTACACAGTGACTGCTGTGGAAATCTATCTGATCCCAGTGATCTGGTAAACAGAGGTGTGGGTTGGAAAGATGAGTGAAGGAGGGCAGCGAAGGGCCTAGACCTATCTTGCATTTTCTCTTCATATCCCATATTTTCAAGCTGCAAATATCATTGAGAATGTGAAGATAGGGCCAACAAGTTAGACAAATGAACATGGTATCCCTTGATATATGCTTGTATAAAATGTCAAACTCAAGTTTGGGGATAAATGTTAACATCAATCAGTTAACTAATCTCCTTAACTAAACTAGAAAATGGACCTAACTTGTCTAGCAGGATCCATAGAATAAAAGATTCAATGAGTTCAGTGAGCCAGTGGGGAAACAAGTATTTAGCCGGCAGGGCAGTCAGTCTCCTGTAGCACCTGAGAACAGTGTGATTAGGTTAGTTTAAAAAATTAGCTAACATCAAGTTTGCAAATCATGTACATAATCCATAACCCGTGGATTACACCTGGCTCTGAAGGAATGGAATAACAACAGGATTAAATGCTGCAGTAATTATTCCAGTTATAATAATAGCTGGAATAGAATAATACCAGAAGAACAGAACTGGAGGGGATTCTCCAGATGAACAATTAATTCAGTGTTTCATTTTATCAACTGAGGAAACTAAGTCCCAGGGACACGAGATGATTTGCTTAAGGCCACTCAAGAGACAGATGGAGGAGCTGAGAGTGGAATCAAGGGCTCCTGACCTCCGAACTCATGACCCCTCCACTCTGACTCGCTACTGCTTCTATTGGCACGCCTGAGACAGTTGGTGAGTACAGGCGCCATATTGCATAGTTGGGTCCTCAGTCACCCTTCTGGCCCAGAGTTGCAAAGCAGCCTCTGTAATTGTGCGGCTGTGGTATGCTCTGATGTGGAACATCAATAGTGGGCATAAGGTTGGTAATTTGGGGAGGGTGGAGATCCAGAATTCTTTCTCCAGAGCCAACAGGCTCTGAGTCAGAAGGGGACAAGTTCTGAAATAAGAAGAACCTTGGCCTGAGAAGCCAGCTGGTTCTTTTCAGGTAAACTTATTTTTTCCTCTAGTGTTTTTTTGGGTGGGTGAGAAGGGGGAATCTATCATCTGTTGGGCCATACCATGAGTCAGGAGCTCTACAACGAGTGTCACGTTTATTCCTTATAACTCCCCATTCTGATGAGGGTGCTAAAGCTCAAGAGGTTAAGAAATGAACTCGTCCCCACAGTAATGTGAGATTTTAGTGCGCCCCCTGGTGGATGTGAGAGATGAAGGTGATACTCATATTGAGCCTGAGGTCCCTGTGAACATCACAAAGACAAGGTACTTCTTGTCCCTTCTTGGACAGTGCTAAGAGCAGATTTCAGCCAGTGATATTACCTTCTTCTACTGGTAAGAATACACTAAAAGAAAAAGTTGTCCACTGCTTCTCTCCCTTCAGTTTTCTTTCTGCTCTGTCCTGTGGAAAATGACCTAAACTTAGTGAACTTAGCCTTTCTGACTTTGGTTTGTCCAAGAAGCAAGGAGTGAACAGCTCCCTTATAAACCATTATAATAATTCTGCTGCCTGAAAAGGCTTTCAGAATCAAAAATAACTTGGTGAATGCAATCCAAGAAAGCACAAAGTCTGATGCATTTCATAATGCACTGCCCCGTTTCTGTTTTGAAGTGTATTATAGGAAAGGTGTTTCTGTGAATTGGTAAAGCATTTCCTCTTAGGACTTAAAAAAAAACTACTGTACTGACAATAAAGCAATATTTTACTTCTGAATTTCTCTTGAAGCAAAAAATAACTTTTTAAAAACTGTTAGAGTTTAGCCTATATCAGAGAAGAGAGCCTGTAATCAGGATCCCTTGGAAAGCTGGGGAGTTTGAACACTTACTAATCACAGCTTTATCTGTGAAGATTTTTTTTTTCCTTTTGGGTTCTGGAACACTGCTGACTTGGTTCTTGTTCTTAGGACAGATCTTTGACTTTTCTGTTCCACCACTTAGCAGCTGTGTGACCTTGGGCAAGCTATTTCAACTCTCTGAGCCTCAGTTTCCTCACATGTAAAATGAGGATAATTCTTTGTGCAGCACAGGCGTATTGGAGGATTCAATGACCTAAGGGAAGCAGACTGTTTCAAAATAGTGTTTGGTGCATGACAGATGTGAAGACACTTAGTGGGTACTCTTTACTCACTCTAATATAAAAATCATCACGATTGGCACTTTACCCTTATGGCCCTTCTATGAATCCTCTATTATTCTGAACCTGGCTTATACCACAGCTCTCTGTGGAAGTCTCACCAATATCATACAGTTGATTACAAAGTCTATACACCATCCATGGGTTTAAGCCTGAATACCTCGACTTTTCAACTTACGACTGCCTTCAGCAGCCCTAGTTCAAAGTAAAGACAGTCTTCACCTGGAAGTTTTAAAAACCACTGTACTGGGAGTTTCTATCTGTGGATCTATTTTCCCCATTAGCCTGTCAGTTCATTTTTGCATCCGCAGTGTCATGCACAGTGTTTGCCTCCTAACAATGACCTTGCAAACACTTTTCACAACTCTGTCTTTAGTTTTCATATCAATCTCACTTAGTGTATGCTATTATTATCTACATTGTGCTCATAAGGCGCAGAGAGGTTGAGCACCATGCTCAAGGACACACAGCCAGCAAGCGGTAAAGCTGGAACTTGAACCCAGGTAGCACAGCCACTCTACCTGGAGGATGAAGTCTTAAACTGCTGTCATGCTGGCACTTAGACATCCCCCGGGTGTTCTGTTACTCTGAACTGATTTACCTTCTGGCAGTTACCCTGGCATAATGCTTTCTATCTTGTTTTACAGCTGGAAAACAGCAAAATAATGAAAACTTTTTAAGAGCAAGCTTTAACTCCCCTTGCATCTGTGTTTTCTATCTTCTGTTAATTGTCTGCTACTTACTCTTATCTTTGTCACTGACCACATTCTGCTATCCAACCCAAATTCCCTGCATGGCAGCTGGTATAGCATGCGTGACCAGCAAGCAAGGGAAAGCAACCTGTTCTGTCTGAAAGTATCTGCAGCAATTCTGTGCCAGCCTGTGTTGGGACAGGGCTGGGAAAGGGAAAGAGACAGAATTGAATACCGCAACAAAACTAATCTTCCCATCTGCTGCTTTTGTATTTAAATATTGATTCTGAGGTTGCATACCTCCTATAATTATATGAGGCTCCTGGCAGTCAATCTTCCCTGGGGATTTACAATAGACCTTTGTGCTGCATCAATATAAACCAGGTTACAAATAATACTTTCTACTTTTATTGAATCCCTTTCAGGGGAGGAGGCCAAAGAATTCATGGCTTCAGTGCAATGTGATACAGGCTGGAACACTCTTCATTCACCAAAGACAAAGACGGAGAAAGAAACCAAGTGAATGTACTGAACAAGCTGCTTCTGGTCTCAGCTGTCTTTCTGAAGCTGTGCTTCTGTTAACTAGTCTGGGGCTAGCTCTCTTCTCTTTCTCCTTGTCTTCTATGGTTTGAGCATGTATCTGCTGATACTTTTTAAGTTGACCTGTCTTTATACTTAGAAATGTCTCTTAATAGTAGGCTTCCCCGGTGGCTCAGATGGTAAAGACTCTCCTGCAATGCAGG